CCACCACTGCCCAGCCACAGCCCAAGTCTTCTTAGCCATTGCTGACCACATACTTCATTGCTCTCTTAAAGTGGTTCATTATGGAATCTAGTATCAGCTTACCTAACTCACTGCAGTCTCTGACAGCCCCAGCTTCAATCAGCCTAACCCCTTCAGAGTAGCCTCAACCTCTTCTGGAGTCTCTGCTTTCAGCCTCCAGTGAAGCTTTTCTCACTCAGGTAGCCCTTCCCTGAAGTAGATTTTAGTTAACATGCTGAGGTGCTTATCATTTAGCCTGGAGTATGCTGTTTTTTATACAGCCAGATCAAGCAGGCTGTCACCCAGCTTTGGCACTGTCGCGTTCCTGTTAAGCACTGCAGGGAGTCATTACCATAGACATGTCACCATTGACCAGTCAGCAGATTGGTACAGTGATGAAGATGGATTTGGACTCTGTCATCCACATCCCCTTTCCACTTCTTCTAAGGAAGAACGTGCATTTGTAAGATGGTTCCAGGGTCAGGAGCCACAGTCAACGACCGTGGAAACAAGGTTAACAGTGGCTCTGGAAATCCATAATGTGTCCTCTCTGAGGGTTGAACTGTCAGGGCTAAAAGCTACAGCCAGATCTAAAAAGCAACAGGCTTGCCACTGCTTACTCAGAGCACACCCCCCCCCACACACACACACCAGCGTTCAGAAATTCATGGATAGAGTGAAGAACCTTTATCCTACCAATTTTCTTTTTCATGGTAGGATCTAATCCAGAACCTTAGGTATGCTAGATAAGCACTCAACCATGAGATAAATACCCAGCTTTAAAATGTTTGTTTTTGTGATTGTTTATTTCTGTTTGTGCAGGTGCATATGAGTATATGGAGGCATGTATGTAAGAGGAGGCTACAAGTCAGCCTTGGGTATTGTTCCTCAGCAGCTGCTGACCTTGTTTTTTAAGACAGGGTCTCTCATTGAACCTGGAGCTCCCTGGTTTAGCTAGGCTGGCTGCCTAGTGAGTCCCAGGAATCCTCTCCTCTCTGCCCCTACAGTGCTGGGATTGCAGCATGTACCATCATACAAGCTTTGACATGGGGGCTGGAGAGCAAAGTCAGCTCTCCATGCTCACATGATAAACACTATCTCCTCAGCCCAGACTGTTTAATTTTCAAGAGACAAGCTTTCACTATGTTGCCCAGGCTAGCTTTGAATTGGACTCTGCTCAATAATGTGGAAATGAGTGTTAAATTTTTTTTCCTTTGCCTTCCACCTGTGGTGGTTTGAATAAGAATGGCCTCTTATGCTCATATATTTGAATGCTTAGTCACCAGAGAGTGGAACTCTTGATAGGATTAGAAGGTTTTGGAGACGTGGCCTTGTTGGAGTAAGTGCATCATTGGGGATGGGCTTTGGGGTTTCAAAAGCCCCTGCTAGGCCCTGTGGATCAGAACTTAGCTCTCAGCTACTGCTCCAGTGCCAGGTGTGCGACTATGTTCCATGCCAAGATGGTAATTGACTAGCCTTCTGAAACGGTAAGCAAGCCCCCAATTAAATGCTTTCTTTTATAAGAGTTGCCTTGGTCATGGTGTCTCTTCACAGCAATAGAACTAACTAAGATACCACCTACTCTCTTTTCTTTTTTTAAAAAAATATTATTTATTTTTTATGTGTGAATGCTTGCATGATTTCATGTGCACCATTTGCATTCAGTAACCAGAAGAGGGAGTTGGATTCCTTGAAACTGGAGTTACAGGTAGTTGTGAACCATCAGGTGGGTGCTGGGAACCAAACCTGGGTCTTCTGTGAGAACAGCCAGTGCTCTTAACCACTGAACCATCTCTCCAGCCTGCCTTTTCTTTCTTTTGAGACATAGTCTTACTTTGTAGCCCAAGTTGGCCTTAAATTTATAATCTTCCTGCCTTATCCTCCCAGGTTCTAGGATTATAGGTGCATGCAACTGTACCTAGTTGGAATTCATCCTTTAAAACCCCCCAAATGACGTTTTAGCATAAATATGTAAAATAAGCTATTATTTTGTTATGTTCACAAATTGTGTACAAATTCACTAGGGTCTAGACAATTTAAAGCCCCGTCTAGCCTTTTCTCTGATTCCTGGTCACCATGATATAGGCTGCTTTGCTCTACCATATATATCCTCCCTGCCCTGTTGGACTGAACCCTTGGAAACCAGAGCCAGATAGAAGATTTGTCTGCCAGGACATGAATACTGTGTGGGAGATACAAATGACCCTACATTGTAGAGACTGGCTAGATGTGAGCCCTGCCCCTGAGAGCATTTCTGAGGAAGCTGACCAGTGGGACAAATGTCTTTAGGGACACTGGGCAAATCATCATACCTGGGATGCACATTAGCAGTGTCCCCATATACACCTCTACTACTACTTGGTTCTTACCTCTTGGTCACTTCTGATGGGAGACATGTTGGACAATGCCATCTACTCTTTGGAGTTCACCTGAGCTTCCAGCCCTGCATTCACAGAGTTGGAGATGATGCTGAGGTTGCCAGAGTACTTCCTATTCCACCCAGCAAGCAGGTGGTGCCTGCAGCGACAAATGCCCTCTCATACAGGGGCTAAGTAGAGAAGGAGAAGTAAAGCCCTGTGCTGGGTTTGACTATACATCCTAGCACTTAGTAGCCTGAGGCAGGAAGGAGGATTATCACAAGAGGACTAGCCTGGGCTATAGGAGACCCTATCTCAAAACACACACACACACACACACACACACACACACACACACACACACACACAGAGAGAGAGAGAGAGAGAGAGAGAGTCAATATGTATTAGTACACACACACATACACATATCAATCTAAAATTGTGTCTGTTTTACTCTTCAAAACTTAAAATGTAGAAAATAGTTACTTCTGGCTAGTATAAAAAGTACTAAGAAATTAAGCAGCCACTTTTTAATGTGGATTTAATGAAGTGTCATCATAATTCTGGTGACAACTCTGAAGTATTTTGAAGTACCTTATATATTTCACAAAGCTGATTCCAAGATATTAGAATTAGCCGATTCAAGAATTAGCATTTCTTGATTATTGTTCTTAAGCAAACTCAAGGTATATCTTATTCTAGGCCCAAGTTTGAAAATAAAAAAAAACTATTGGTCAGTAGTTTTTATAAAGCATTATAAGCCCTTGTTTCCAACCTTTCAGTGAACCCCTTTGTCCTCAGTCATTCACTCCAGACTCACTACCACTTCCTTGTGGGTTTCTCTCTCTTTCTAATTCTCCTCTTCTCCTCTCCCTCCTCCTCCCTCTCTTCTTCTTTTTCTGGTAAGTGATTTGGGATGAACTATACCTAATAAAGATGTATGAACAACAGGGGCTCAGAGCCTTTAAAAAACAATGGCATCTCAATTTAGTTGTGCCTTCTCACTCACCAGTTGGAAATATGCCTAGAAAGGACATTTTAATTGCCCCTTGCTTTTTGAGCACAGAGAAAATAGTTGGAAAGGGTGAGCAGTGATGGGTCCAGTCACTGTTTAGAATGGCAAAGAAATGTGAGTCTCTTAGGGCCAAGTAAATACAGTTGGTTTTTGTCCACAACAGCAAGAAGGTCAAACGTCAAAAATTGGCAAACTGTACGCCTGGCAGTACAAACATCTCCCATTGCAAAGATCTGTGTATTGAGGACCTTTGGAACTGACCTGAGAAAAGGCATGCCTAGAACCTCAAGGATATAAACAAAGAGACAAAAATATTGACAGAAACAATTCAAAGGATCAGAGTGTGAAACTCAGGACCACCAAGGCAATTATCAGAAGGAAATGACTTACCTAATATGAAGCTTGATATTGTGCCTGAAGTCTATAGATGAGAGGTGATCAGGGAGGGGAGATTTACGATCGAGTTGGAAACCCATGAATATGGATTAAAGCTGTGCTGTCTGTGGACAATAATGAAAAGTAGTTCATGGGCAGGTTGGAACTTTAAGGGCATCAAATATTTGGATCTTTGAAATCACAAAATGACTAAGCATCATTTAGACATTCACCTTATTAGGTTAGCCCCAACTCCATAAAGTCATACACTCTTTAAATTAAGTTAAATTTGACTGATTTGGATTTTTTCTCTCTTTTTTGAGACAAGGTCTTGGGCTGGCCTTGAACACCCTGTGTATCTGAGGCTGGTCCCGAATTGATTGATGTTCCTGCCTTTATCTCTCAAGTGCTGGGTTACAGGGTTGCATAACACCTGGTTTAAGGGTTTTTAATCACATCTACAAAATCTACTCATGGCATCATTTAGATTTGTGTTTGACTAAATAAGTGAGGTCTGTAGTTCAGCTTGGCCTACTTTATACATCAATAGGCTACTAGACAAGAGGAGCCAGTGCACGACATGTGCCCTTTCATTTTCCTTCCTCTCTGTGCCGTACACTAGAGAAGCTACAGCCCAAAGATGGGACCAAAGCAAAGAAGATAAACCTTCCTTTACAGTTTTTAAAACATTTATTTATGGTATGTGGGTGCATGCATGGGCACACATGTGCCATGGCATGTGCGTGGAAGTCAGAGGACAGTTTTCAGGATTCAGTTCTTTCCTTCTACCATGTGAGGTCCAGGGATTGAACTCAGATCATCGGCCTCTTTAGAGTACACCCTTGGTCACTGAGCCTTGGCTATCTTGACAGCCTAATAAACCCTTCTACAGCCCCCAAAGGGAGAGAACAGGAGGAATAAAATAGCAAGCTACTCTCACCCCCTAATCATGTCTCCGGAGCTGTAGATTTGGCCGGTAGCAGTAAGCTTTGAATGAATATAAGGTAAAATTTTAATGATAGCAGCAAATGGGAAGTTATGGAATGTAAAATTTCATTAAGATAATTACTGGCCATCAAGGAAAGGAGAATTGGCATAGTTAAATTGGGTACAGTAACTAGGAACATAAAACTCCAGCGCTGAGCCAAGCAGGAAGCAACATGATTACATTATACAAATTAGATTAGAAGAGCTGCAATTGTTTAGATGAAGAAGTGTCTGGAGAAGTCAGAGAAGGCTTGCTCCTAAAGACAGACTTTGAATTAGGTCCTGACAATCGGTATTCAGAACACTGGAGCAGAGGAGACACTAGTGGAATGAAAGCTTGGGAAATGATTTCTTACATACATGGTACAAGGTCATGGAGATACCACACAGACTCCTGGAGCAAAGTGTGGATGCCAAGGGGCTGAGTGCTGACTAGGGCCATGCTAAGCAGGGTCTCAAGTGCCTGGCAGAGAAACTAATTTAACCTTTCTTTTTTGTTTTTGAGACAGCATCTCATGTGGCCCAGGCTAGCCTCAAACCCACTCACTATGTAGCTGAGGATGGCCTTTACTTCCTGGTCTTCCTGCCTCTACCTCCTAAGTGTTGGGATTACAGCGCGAACTGGGTTAGTTGATATTGATAGTGTAGGCAGGAGGTCTGTAGAGAACGCTTGGTTCTTGGATGGGGAAAACTTGGAGGAAAGTTTTTGTTCTTCATCTTTTAGAGACAGATTAATGTGACAACAGGATAACACACATGGGATTTAGAGGAGGGCTGGAACTCAAAGAGGGCAGACAGGATGCCAGGGTAATGTTCTAGTCTGGAACTCACACTGGCTTCTTCTAGAATAATGACACTAACATGGAATTAGAGAAAAAAGAAATATCCAAGAAATATTTCAAAGATAAAGACAGTAAGAATGAACCAATTTGGAGTGTGATGGCCAAAAGGAGAATTCAGAGTATTCCTTGATTTCTAGCTTGGGGATCTGGAGGGACTGTGAGATCACCAACATAAGTGAGGGAGCTGGGAAGAAAGCTCCTTCTTGGAGATTGAGACTGTGACTGAGTTCAAGGTCATTGAAGCTAAAGACACAATTTTAAAATAGAAATGGCTAGAAGTGAGAAATAAATAGTGGGGTTTCTTGAGATTGGTATGCTGGAGAGACTGCAGGAAGAGGCTGGTTAGGTCTGGAGGGTCTGGAGGCATGGTTGGTATTTTCCATGACTGTTTCCAGTGGAAAAGGACTTTCGGAAGAGGGAGTAACAGAACATCTGGAAAGCCAGATGGTGTCAAAAAAACAGAACTGGCTTTGATTCTGGGGTCATGGTTTACGTCCTGGAATTGATGAGTTTGGGCAAGGATTTGGGGAATCATGAGGAAAGAAGATTCCTCTTTTCTCCTTTGTTCTTCCCTTTAGGGTGGAGAACTGCGGGGGCTCCACCTGTCTGTTAAGGTATATTGCCAGATCATCTAAAAGATGGTGGAAGAAAAGAATCACTGAGAAGGAAAAGGAAATTGTTCAAAGAAAGACAGGAAGGCAGGCTGAGTGAGAAAGAGTAACACTGTAAAAGATACCCAGTGTTTCATAGGATAATTATAGGTGAAAACAGCCAAACTTACTGCTAACATTTATTGAGAGTTTACTATATATACTTCTGTGGAAAATTCTTTATATTTAGTATTTCTTTAATCCTTACTTTGAAAGATGCTTAATATTTTTCCTGACCAACAGCATATCATAATACCAAGTGCTGGGATTATAGCTATGTGTCACTTGGCTTAGATTCTGTTATTATGTAGAATTACGTAAAATATTTTGGGGGACTGATGAGAAGTTCAGTGGTTAAAAGCACTTCCTGCTCTTTCAGTTTGGGTCCTAGCATCCATGTTGGGTGGCTCACAATAACCTACAACTCCAATTCCAGGAAATTCAACTTCCTTTTCTGGCCTGTGAGGATACCTGCATACCCACCTACACACACACACACACACACACACACACACACACAGACACACACACACACACACATCTTTAAAATACTTTGGATTTATGTATTTACAATTTTAGAGCATAGACAAATGGACACAATAAAAAGGCAAGGTATGATTGATGTGGCTTTTTATTTTTTGTGTTTTTCTTTTAAGATGGGTAGAAATGAGAAGATGGGAAAATATCAGTGTGTCATGTAAAAATGAGGCATAAAGCTGAAAGAGACAAGCTGGGTCTGTGGTATATGCCTCTAATCCTAGCAGTGGGGAGTTGGAGGCAGAGGATCAGGAGTTCCTATTTCAAAAAAAACCAATTAATCAAGCAAACAAAAGAGCTAAGTAAGAACAAATACAGGGAGACATTGGAACAGGTTTACAATAGGAGTGATAAGAGGGTGGAAAATTCCATTGGGTTTCATATATATGATAATGCATACGCCAGATCAAATTTCCTACTAAGTTTTCTTTCCAGATTCCTGTTATAATCTCTACCTTCCATCATTGAAATAGTATATCTATATATATATGTAAAATAGTATTGTGGTTTTCAATGCAATAAACATGTATATTTTTCTTTTTTTCTTTAAATAGAATTTATTATCTGAAGAAATGGATACTTCTCCATCCAAAAAATATCCAGTTAAAAAACGGGTGAAAATACATCCCAACACAGTCATGGTGAAATATACCTCTCATTATCCCCAACCTGGGGACGACAGGTATGAGGAAATCAATGAAGACTATGGCAAATTTATGGAAGAAAATCCGAAGAAAAGTCTGCTGAGTGAAATGAAGAGAAAAGGAAGAACTTTGTTTGGAACCATGGACACTCAGCCTCCACTAACAGAAGACTCAAGAGCCAGTGGGATGACACAATTCCAGAGCTTTGCAGAAAAAAACATTTTTCAGTCCCGAAAAATGTGGATAGTGCTGTTTGGATCTGCCTTGGCTCATGGCTGCGTGGCTCTCATCACTAGGCTCGTTTCTGATCGTTCTAAAGTTCCATCTCTAGAACTGATTTTTATCCGTTCTGTCTTGCAGGTCTTATCGGTGTTAGTTGTGTGTTATTACCAGGAAGCTCCTTTTGGACCCAGCGGATACAGATTACGACTTTTCTTTTATGGTGTATGCAATGTTATTTCTATCACCTGTGCTTATACCTCCTTCTCAATAGTTCCTCCCAGCAATGGGACCACAATGTGGAGAGCCACAACCACAGTTTTCAGCGCCATCTTAGCATTTTTACTTGTAGATGAGAAAATGGCTTACGTTGACATGGCTACAGTGGTCTGCAGTATCTTAGGCGTTTGTCTTGTCATGATTCCCAATATCGTTGATGAAGACAGCTCTTTGTTAAATGCCTGGAAAGAAGCCTTTGGGTACACTATGACTGTGATGGCCGGACTGACCACCGCTCTTTCTATGATCGTGTACCGATCCATCAGGGAGAAGATCAGCATGTGGACTGCACTGTTTACCTTTGGCTGGACTGGAACAGTCTGGGGAATTTCTACTATGTTTGTTCTTCAAGAACCGATTATCCCTTTAGATGGAGAAACATGGAGCTATCTTATTGCTATATGCATCTGTTCTACTGTAGCATTCTTAGGAGTTTATTATGCCTTAGACAAATTCCACCCAGCTTTGGTCAGCACAGTACAGCACCTGGAGATTGTGGTAGCTATGGTCTTACAGCTTCTAGTGTTACACATATTTCCTAGTGTTTACGATGTTTTTGGAGGGGTGATCATTATGATTAGTGTATTTGTCCTTGCTGGCTATAAACTGTATTGGAGGAATGTAAGGAGGGAAGATTATCAGGAAATACTGGACTCTCCCATTAAATGAATACCAGGTTATTATTATCTTGTTAATGTCTAGTTACTAACATGTACATTGCCATTTTAATATTTACCTGTAGATGTCTTTTGTGTTATATAATTGATAGAGTGCTATATTGATAGAGTGCTATATAGTATAAATAATTATGCAGATGCAGAAAAATATTCCAGACTAATATATTAAAGCATAAATATTAAATAGATAAAATATGTCATGAAGTTGGTGTCTTTATAATTATAAATAAAATGTAATTGTGGTAGAAGAGTATCATTCTCCATCACCAAAGACACAAGACTAGGAGTCTCAGATTGAATTTCTGTGGTTATAAACTTCCAAAACTTGAAAAATGTTTTTGTTTTGAGAAAGGGTCTTTCTATGTAATTCTGGCTGTCCTGGAACTTGCTATGTAGACCAGACTGGTCTTGAACTCATAGACCTGCCTGCTTCTGTCTCCTGAGTGTTGGCATTAAAGGTGAGAGCCGCTACACCTGGGAAAAAATGTTTATTTTATTTTATTTTATTTTTTGAGATGGGTTTTCTCTGTGTAGCCTTGGCTGTCCTGATAGACCAGGCTGGTCTCAAACTCACAGAGATCATCCTGCCTTTGCCTCCTGAGTGCTGGGATTAAAGGCATGCACCACCACCACCCAGATGAAAAAAAAGGTTTATTCTTAATGTTCTACAAATGTGCAACAAACATCCTTCAATATTTAAAAATATTCATGAAAATTACACTATAGGATAAAATGTTGGACACCTAGCTACAGTCCATTTTTCTACTAAAAATCTAAAGGCTTTGAGTTGAGATGAATAAGGGGAGTAAGGAAAAGCTGGATTTTCAGTAACAGGGAGTCTAAACATTAGAATGGAAAGTTTGTCGTCCCATAGTGGGCCACATTAGGCAATACATAGGGAATGAGAGTAGAGTATACAGAATTCTCACCTATTGTATATAATCCATAATCCAGACCATTCTGTGTCTGATGATGTGAGAGCTAATGTTTGGACAGAGTCTCCGTATCCTTATTTATGCAAGTCTTTTTTCATAGCTGCTCCTGTTTATGATTCTATGTAAATATGTATGTAAGTAAAGCAGACATGACACACTCCTAAAAACAAAAATCAAACCACAACAACAAAACCTCACACTGACATGTCTATTGCAGTGGTGAACACAAAGCAGATGTGGTCACTTGCACAAGACCTGCACAACATGAAGCAAGGCACAATTTCAGCATAGAAGGGTGGGGGACTCTCCAGGACCTACGCCTTACTGAGTTATTGGTGGCTGATACCTGCTGGGGGAGGGAGAATAATTGTTTGAGGCTCTTCCTACTGGTGTATTATTGTGTTCCAGTGCCCCCACCCCACACTACATATGGACAGCACTAATTGGATTTAGTGGGTTATAAAAAAACATTTCCAGTGCTATACAGAGAAATTTTGCCTTGAAAAACAAAACAAAACAAACAAACAAAAAAAAGGTCATTAGTTGGGCAGGGGACATATGTTGAGGGGGCAAACAGGCATATGGGGAGAGTTAGAGGAGGGAAATGGGATTGGGTATGATCATATTTCATTGTATACATGTATGAAATTCTCAAGAACAAGAAAAATTAAAATGAAATCATTTTTTAACACACTAGCAGTAATCATGATATAGTAGAAAATTGACATGGTATCCTGAGACTCTCCTCAAAAGGGCCTTTAGGTCCATAAAAGCTACAAGGTAGCATTAATTTGAGTCTAATTTGGGCCATTATTGATTCTTCACAAGTACATGTTGATGTGATACAGATTATTAAGGTGTTGTCTCTTAACTCCCAACTCACCCCCACACATTTCATTTTGTTGATGCTTGCTAGTATTTCCCACAGGGTTTTGCCTACAAAGGATTGAGGAGCTGAGCCTGGTAGCATAGGGTTGTGATTCTAGTTACTTGGGAGGCTGAGGCAGGTGGATCACAAGTTCAAGGTTAGCTTTGGCAACTTAGACCTGTTTTCAAAAGTGGGGTAGCTACTGGGGGTATAGCTCAGTGGCAGAGCACCTACCTATTATGTAGCAAGCTGCTGTAGATTCAACCCCAAGTCCTGCAAATAAGTAAGTAAGTAAACAAACATACAAACAAACATACAAATACACGAGAAAGCAAAAAGTTAAGAGAGGAAGATTAGAAGGCAGGAAGAGAAGGGACTTTCCTCTCTCTATTTGCCTTTAGCATGTTGCTCTTTCACCCCACAATCAGCAAGGATTAATGCTATCCTTAAGTTACCTTTGACATTATTCCTTCCTATCACATCATTTTGCCCACAACATCGTCCCCTTTGAGCAGTAGCAGGGCCAGCTGCAGAGCTTCCTCCTGGAGGTCTGAGCTATATCCCAGCTGGGCCATGCTTCTGTGCTTCTGAAATCCTATAGTACAAACCTGATACACTCTTTTGCTAGCCCTAGGGGTGGTAGTTGATCCATGAAGCACAATCTCTTTTGGGTTAGCTCAGTGCTCAGTGTCCCTGGCCTTCCATACCTGACCTTTTTTTTTTGGGGGGGGGGGAGTCTATTTGAGACAGGGTCTCACTATATACCCCCAGATGGCTTTGAACTTGGGGTGGTCCTTCCTGTTATCCGCCTCTCCAATGATGGTATGACAGGCATGAAGCACCAAACCTGATTTCAGATTTTTCAGTCCATTAACACACAATACTAAATCTTCTCCATTGTGATATCTTGTGATTTCTGTTTTCCTGAGTAAAGGGCCCCAATCATCTTCAAAAAATCCAAAGATACTAATAAGATACCTAGCTTTGGGAAAATGTCAACATTTAGATCTTCTGTGATTACTAGACATTAGTTAACAATAGACGTTATGCAACCTGAGCCAGGCATGGAGGTATAAACCTTTTATCTTAGCTTCTTAGCTAAGGCAGGATGCACCTAAATTTGAGTACAGCTTGGGTAATTTAGCAAGATCTTATGAACAAATTTTAAAAAGTCAAAAAGGCTGGGTATATAGCCTGTTGATGGAATGCTTGGACAGCATACATGAAGTCTTGGGTGCAAGCTGCAATGGATGTGCATGGACATAAACACACACACAGCAAATGAAAGCACAGAAAGAGGATTTGGAGGGACGGTGGTGCAGAGTGGCATGGAGAGAATAGAGACTTACTAAGAAGTATAGCATAAAGTTGATTCAAGATAGAAAATAAACACCAGCGACTCAGAAATCTGAAACTAGATGAATGCCTGGCAGGATATATAGAAAAAGACATCTAGAAACAGTGCATCTTTGCTGATGACGATGAAGTTATAGATCTTAAAAATAACCAGAGCAAAAAGACAAAACGCACAGAAAAGCAATGATGAACTACAGCGTCAGTGAGATGGCTCAATGGATAAGGGCTCTTGCCACCAATCCTAACGGCCCAAGGTGAATCCTTGGATTCACATGGTGGAATGAGAAAACCAACTCTACACATGCATGTGTACACCCACACACCCTAAATAAATAAATAAATAAATAAATAAATAAATAAATAAATAAATAAATGCTAATGTCTTAGTTAAGGTGTTTATTGCTGTGAAGAGACACCCTGATCACAGCAGCTCTCATAAAGAAAACATTTAATTGAGGTGACTCACTTACAGTTTTAGAAGTTCAGTGCATTATCATCATGACGGGAACATGGAGGCCCATAGGCAGATGTGGTGCTGGTCCTGAGAGTGCTATCGATGGAGGCAACAGGAAGTCAACTGAGACACTGGTCAGTATCCTGAGCATAGGAAACCTCAGAGCCCACCCCTACAGTGATACACTTGTTCTAACAAGGCCATACCCACTCCAACCAAGCCAGACCTTATGGGATTAGCGCCACTCCCTATGGGATTATGGAAGCCAATTACATTCAAACTACCACAGTTAATAAATAAAAGATTTCAAGAATTGCAACTTGGGGTTGGAGAGATGATTCCTCCATTCAGAACACTTGTTGCTCTTTCAGAGAACCCAGGCTGGGTTCCTAGCACACATAAGGCAGCTTACAACTGCCTGTTAGTCCAGTTCCAAGGGTTCTGATGCCCCCTTCTGGTTTCTGATGGAACTGCAGGCACACAGTGCACTTACATACGTGTAAACAAAACACTCAACACACATAAAAGAAAGTTTTTAAAAATAAATTGCAGCTTGCTCCTCAGAAGAAGCAATGAAGACCAGAAATCGTCAGTATGACCGTTAAAGTACTGAAAAAAAAAAAAAAAACAAGCAACAACTCTCTAGTGACTTCTCAATGCTTATAGGATAAACGCTAGGGTCCTCTGCTTTCACAACATATCACTTACATTCTAGCCATCATCTGCTCCACCAATATGCTACAATCGCTTAATGTCTTTATATTATGTAACCCCCCCAATCCTTCTTTTTGCCTGAACAGTCTTACTACACATTTCCCCTCTCACAGTGGCTTAATGCCTCTGTTCCTAGATACAACTGTTGTTGTGTTTGGCATATTAATAATACAGGTTGGTTTAAATCTCCATATCTGACACTGGTATGGACTCTTAAGATATCCAGTGTCTATTGTAGCACCTACCATACAAAGTGTACTTTTCCTATAGTAGTATAACCATAAAAAATCCAGAAATTAAATTTAGTTAGTAGAGCCAACTACTTTCTACATGTCAATATCAAGCCTGTGATAACTTCTTGCTAGCAGATAGGTAGGGCTTTGTTCCCCCTACAAATTCTTGTCTGATAGGGACACTAAACTATAGCATTTTAACAATAAGCTGTCAATAGTTTCCTAGGAAAGGCCTTAAGTTATGGAGGGTTCCTATTTCCTTTCTTTATCACCCTAAATCTCCTCCTTTGGTGTTAATGGGAGTGAGCTGCCTGTATGGTTTTTGTTTCCTTTTGAGACAAAGTTGTTCTACATAGCCCTGGCTGTCCTGGAATTTGCTACATAGATCAGGTTGTCTTGAACTTCCCAAAACTTGAATCTGCCTTTACCTCTCCAGTGCTAAGACAAAAGGTGTGGTGTTTTGTATGTTTCTCTTTTGTTTGTTTGTTTTCATTTTTCGAGACAGAGTTTCTCTGTGTAACAGTCCTGGCTATCCTGGAACTCGATTTGTAGACCAGGCTGGCTTGGAACTCACAGAGATCTGCCTGCCTCTGCCTCCCAAGTGCTGGGATTAAAGGCATGTACCACCAGTGCCCAGCTTTGTATATTTTTTAATATAAATTTCGCATTACTTACTTTTGATACTATCAATAGAATGTAGGCAGAGTATCCTTTGCCCAGTTTTATGGTCTATTTTTCTCAACTAAACTCAGGCTAAGAAGGGGCCACAAGTAATTTGTAGTTTACCTAAGGCAGGCGAACCCATGTATCCTTCAACATGCAATTAAGTTAAATGCAGAAAAGTGACTATTTAGGACTTACAGGTAGGGTTTGTATTACAGTGCAAAGACGGAGTTGAAGAGATGGTTCAGTGATTAAGAGCACTGGTTGCTCTTCCAGGGGACCTGGGTTTGATTCCCAGCACCCACATGTGGTTTAAAACCACCTGTAACTCCAGTTCCAGAAGATCCTATACCCTCTTCTGGCCTCCAGGGGCACCAGGCATGCATATGCCACACAAATATACATAAAGGCAAAAACACTGGTACACAGAAAAAAATAAAAATAATTTTTTAAAAAGCGAAAGGAAGATGTACTAATGGCTTGATTATTGACGATGATGTGTTAGGCATGGGGGGTTGGGGGTGGGATGAACGCTGTCACTGTTCCTCATTTAACAGACTTTGCAATCTAGGTATTCACGGGCGTAGTTACGCTGGAGGAAAAACACGTTTCAGTGAAGTTACCTAACCTAGAGTGTTTCTTTGGGTGCCACACCTACAGTAGGAAACAAAGATGGTTAGGAAACAGTCAGGCAGTTACGGGTGGCTGCAAGACTAGTTCGGAAGGAGAACCGATTTACAGATGCCTTGGCAGGTGGCTGGGGCTGCACCACTGCCATGCTCAGCCCAAGGGCAAAGGTAACTGTCCTTGCTGGCAGGGCTGGAAGCCGAGAGCGAAGGCTGCCCACACACCAGGGCACTCGGAAGTTCCTCAGACAGCTTATTTTGGCCGTGGTTTTAATGAACAAACATCTTACATTTTTTCTCCGAGGCTTATTATTATTTTTTCCTTTGTCGCTCCCTGTCCCTAAGAATCTGCAGCTGGTCGGCCCCTTCAGGTGCAGGAACCAGAGCAGTTTGGGCTGAACTCGGGGCCGACATTAGCGAGCGATTATAATGACAGGTTTCAGCAGCGCTGGGAGAGGCGGAAAGTAAGCAGCCACCGAGGAAGCTGGGGGAAGAACACCGCCGCCGACAGGCCCAGCATCCCTCACCTTCTCCGGTCTGAGCGCCGCGCAGTCTCAGCTCACCGAACCCTCAGCGCCGCGCTTGATTGACAGGCCAGCTCGTCCAATCCCGGAGCGGCGCCTTCCGCTGTGGCGTCAGGGGCGGGCCCCGGAGGCGATGGAGCCTATTAGATTGGGCGTGGAGCGGGTTTCCTGCCCGCACCGGCCCGCCCACCGGTTGCTCTCGCCCCGCCCCTCCCTGAGAGCTACGCGGCGGCGCAGCACAGGCCTCGTGCGGTAACGGCCTCCGGGCAGCCGCGGTGGCGTCCCGGTGCAGTCCTCAGGTGACGGGGGCCGCGGGCTCGGCGGAGGGGAAGGTGAGACGGCCCTGCCTGCGTGCCGACACGCACAGTCCTTCCGGCCCCCCCGGTCCGTCCGCGCTGTCTGTTAGTCTCGTCGCTTCCTCTTCCCCGGCGAAGTTAGCCCGGGGGCGCCGTCTGCCGGCGGCGGAGCGGAGGGGGCGGGGAGGCCGCTCGGTGGAGCTCGGGTGTCCGCGGTGCATCCCCGGTGACCCCGCGGCCTCTTCGCCGGAGCGGTGAACGCCGCTCGGGGAGGCGGGCAGGCAAGTGTGCGGCGCGTGCCTCGGCGCTCCCCCAGAAAGCCCTGTCGCGGTCTGCGGCGGTGTCCGAGGCCGGGAAGGTAGGGACGCGCGGGCTGGCAGGAAGGGCGCTCTCACCTCCAGCCGCCCGCGGGAGGAAGCCGGTCAGGGGGACATCCTCGGGGCACGCCCTGCCCTCCCCCCACCGCTCCGGAGCAGGAGAAATGGGGGCGGCCGGGGGGCTGTTGGGTTGGGGTAGGTCCAGGAAAAACAGCTTGCTGGCTTGCTTTTGTACCGTCGCGCACGGGTTTCCGCTCAAGTTGGGTTGAATGTTAACAGCCGGTGAAGCTGGGTTTTTGTTCATGGTTGCGGACCGTAACATCCTCGCTTGGTTAATGTCGAACCGAGCTGAAGTCACCCAAAGAAAATTCTGCCCCTTAGGTTAGTTAGGTAAGAATCCTTAGGAGTTAGGGAAGAATGAGGTGAAGAAAACTTCTGACCCCATCTTGGGGTGGGGAGCAATGAGGATCAGTGTCCAGCCAAAACGGCTGAAGTTTTGCAAGAAGTGTTCGTTTTCAAAAGCTTAACTTTGATAGCATTATGATCAGCCTTAATGATTTCTTAAGCACCTAGAAATCCGTTGTTTGTTTTCAGCCTTTAGCGAAGTCACAAAATCAATGGAGAAATAGTCCAAGAAGAAAGTTTTGTTAGATAATTTTCAGTCTCGTTTTTAAATAGAAATTCTATTCACGTCTTGATAGCAAATCAAGGCATATGCATTGGTTGATTAGTACTTTTTTCATCGTGGCCACATTTGGTGCTTTCTCTAGGAAAACTGAACTGTAAGAATCGGCTAGAATATCTGTAAGTGTGCAGTATTCAGATCTCAGCTGTATGTGTAAGTATTAGGTTCTAAAAGATTTGCCTCTCCCTCAAGCATTTTTTTGTTGAGATTTTCCTAGTGCTTACAGAGTCATGTAAATAGTTGACACATTAACATAATGGTTTATTAAACACCGAGTGATTATTTTTGCTGCTAGTTTTCATATTTTGAGAACTTTCTTCCAGAGTTCACAGTTTGATGTGATTATTGTTATAAATAAATTTCTTTTCAGAAAAACTTGAAAAGAATGAATTAACCTGATAATACAGAAAAAAATGCATGTTTTCAATGACAGAAAATGATTATTTCACTAAGTAAAATTGAAGGAAACGCTTGTGACGTTACTGAACACTGAACGGTTTGGAGACAGCTGACAGGTCTAGATGATTCTCACTTTAACCTACCTCGGAAGTAGAACTTCAAAGTCTTCCCTTCAAAACCAATTCTATGCACTATCTTTCTTTGCTGATGTATTATGTAACATACTTTCAGTAACCCAGACATAAACCTTAACATTGGCCTATTTTGCAGTCATTTTCTTAAAAAAATTTCTTATCTTTGTATTCTTACACTGTTTTTAATTTCTAGCTCACTAGTTCTAACTGGGTTTTCTGCCTGGATGGCTCAAATATATTCTGCCTGTGCTGATCTTAAAATAATACTTTGAACATATTTTACACTATTTAGGAACCAGTAATATCTTTCATCTAGATTTCACAGTCTTTTAAAGATTTATTTTTATTTTATGTGTTTGAGTGTTTTGCCTACATATAAGTGTACCATGTGTTGTGGGTTCTGGGAACAGAACCTAGATCCTCTGAAAAAGCTCTTTAACCACTGAGCCATCTGTCCAACCCCAGAAAAAAAAATTCTCTGCAAATTACCAAAGTAGCAAAGTAAAATCCTTTAAACTTTCCTTTTTTCCTTCCTTAATTTCCTTCCTCCCTTCCCTGCCCCTCTCCTCTCCTGTCTCCTTTTCATTCTTTTAGTTTTGGGATCAGACCCAGGGCTTCTCATAAACCACTGAGATATAGCATCAATCCAAAGTTTTATTTTTTTAAAAAATATTGGTTATTACATTTTTGTTTATCTTTGTGTGAGTGTGCATGTGTGTGGGTGTAACCTGTGCTTATGGCCCACAGACAGAGTCAGAGGACAGCTTGTGGGGGCAGTTCTCTCAGTCCACCACACTGGTCCCATGAATTGAACTCAGGTTGTCAGGCCTGTAGTAGGTACTTTTACCTGGAGAGGCATCTCCACCACCCAGCCAGAGTTTTATTTTTTATATAATTAAAAAATTTTAAAGTATTACGTGTATGTGTGTATGTTGAGGGCATGATATGTGCACATGAGCACAGTTGCCTGAAAAGAGAGGCTAGAAGAGGGTGTCAGTCCCCTAGAGCTGGACTTACAGCCAATTATAAACCTCCTGATACAGGTGCTGGGAATCAAACTTGGTCCTTTGCAAGAGCGGTACTTGCATTTAACTGCTGGGCCATCTCTCCAGCCCCCAGAATTTTAATTTTGATTCATGAGTAAAGCTTGTCAAAAATTTCTATTACTTGTGTTGCTCTTTTTCTTTGAACTGTCTTTTTCTTTCTTTTTTTTTTTTTTTTGTCCCCCCTTCCTTTTCTAGTTAGCAGACAAAGTGATGGGTTTTGTGATGGCATTTGCATACTTATTTATTACTGTGCTTTTTCCTTAAACATTCCTTTTCCCCAACTGCCTTCTCTCTTTCCCTTGCTTTTTAATTTTATATGGATATATGTTAATGATATCATGGAACGTTACTGTTGAAATACTGGAATCCAGTCTTTTATTTTTTAGATTGGGAAAGTAAAATCCATACAAAATAATCACTAAAATTCACACATCTTGATGTTGTGGCAGAGCTCAGACTCAAACTTCATCTCATTCAAATATCATGTATTCTTTATGGTACCATTCTATTACCTTGTATAATATATAGTATTTGCTTCATATTATTTGTTTTGTGTACTCCTTTTCATATGGATTCAACACTTATTTTGATGTGGGCTTTCAAACTATTGCTCTAATATTGTTTCTCAAGTTATGTTCTAATGAGATCTTTCATCTTCCTGACTCAGCTGTTGTTACTAATATTTTACTTTTTGGG